ATTGGTTTTTTTTTTTTTCCCAATATTTTTTTTGGAAAAAAAAAAAAAAACAATAATTATAGTATTGATCATACAAAACAATATTTAAAATACTGCAATATACCCATAAGATGATGATGGCTATAGTCTACTGGCAGTTCTAAATCTTCAATAGAGTTTGGTAAAAACCAACTATAAAGATTGTGACTTGATATTTGATTTGGTTTTATTGATAAAGGAATTGAATTCATTTGAAATAATCCACACTTTGGATAAAACTATTCAAATTAGCATTTAGGTGTAATTGTACTATCTTATAAGAAGTAGATATTAAATAAGGATTAACAAATCAAATGAAATTATGGATATATATTTCAATCAGGTTAAGGATGTAAATTCATAAGTAGTTGCGATAGTTTACATTTCAAATGGTGCGTTAAGAGCCCTAATTATAGAACAAGAGTTACAGGAGAAATCAGAGGTTACAATAAAGCAAAATTTTATAGTACAGTATTTTTATTTATTTTATAACGTTTATTTTATTTTATTTTTATCGATTGTATATAATTTTTAAATTTCTGTTTCAAGATAAAGAGTCTGGTATTGGATGTGGATACTGACAACTTAGTTTTATTTTAGATGTTTGTAGTTGGGACTATATAAAACTATTTGATTGGGGTTTGAAATGGAGTTAGGTTCTAAAGGATGTACCACATCACCCAAATAAATTTCAGTATTAGAGTCAGGAATAATACCTTTTGTAAAACGTTGGGAGAAACCATAATTAAAACTAAGAGTATCTAAATGATTTGGGATTGAACCTGGTATTAATTGATATTTGATGTTTTCTAAACTCAAGGCTTGTACGGTGGGTGGTATAAAAGTAAGTGGTTGATCAAAGCCATCTTGTAAATATAAATGTTTAACTGTTGCTGGAATTGAATCAGGTGTTAATTGATACTTTATATTTTCTAAATACAAGTGTTCTACGGTGGGTGGTATAAAATCAAGTGGTTGATCAAAACCATTCATTAAATATAAACCTGTAACGTTTGCTGGAATTGAATCAGTTGTTAATTGATAATTGATGTTTTGTAAATACAGGTATTTTACTTTGAGTGGTATAAAATTAAGAGGTTGATCAAAGCCATCAAGTAAATATAAATGTGTAACGGTTGCTGGAATTGAATCAAGTGTTAATTGATACTTGATGTTTTCTAAATACAGCCTTTGTACGGTGGGTGGTATAAAACTAAGTGGTTGATTAAAGCCATCTATTAAATATAAACGTAAAACTGTTGCTGAAATAGTTTTAGGTAAACATTCGATAGGTCCAATAGCAATGTGACTAATTTCTAAATTACTGATATCACACCCCTCTTCGTAAATTGCAAATTCTTTATTTAAAACTTTATAAAAAGGAATTAATTTATGTATAATTAATATAAAATAAAAATAAAAAATTTAATGTTTAAACTTACATTTTAGTGTTTTAACAAAAGGAATATCAAGTACTTCTAAATAGCTATTTATTAGATCTTTGATCGAATCGAGATTATTTTCTTTAATTACTAATTGAGTATCTTTATATTCTGGTAAGTCATCATTATTTATATTTGATAAAAGATTGTTACATTGATGATTGTATTTTAAAAACTCAATAAAATCATTATCACTATTAAACTTAATAGCAGAATTAATTTTATTATTATTGTTTTCTATTTTTGTTGTTATTGTATTATTTACATCTGTATTTTCTTCTAATTTGGTCGTTAATAATCTTTTGACATCGTTTTCTTTTGAATTGATAATATATTTTAACTCTTTAAATATATTAAGAGTTTTATCAAAATTATTTGTATGGTTATCTTTAATTTGTTCAAAGTGATGGTTTGATTCGTCCAATATTTTTTTATTATTATCTAAAAAGCTGTTTAATTTTGGTATTGTTTGATTTTTAAAATCATGTTCTATTTGATTTCTAAATTTAACATCATCAAATTCTTTAAAACTATGACAATTATGATTACCAACAATACAACATCTACATACAGGAGGGTTGTTTGGACAAGTTGAGCATATTAAAATAATATCTTCGTGGGAATGATCTGAGCATTTGGTGCCATATTGTTGATTATTTGACATCATTTAATGTTTTTTTTAAAATTTTTGTGTTGTTGTGAAAAAAAAAAAATTATTTTTATAAAATTTCAAGACAATTTTTTTTAATTTTTTTTTAATTTTTTTTCCCTGAAATTCAAAATACTCAAAATTGATTATCTAAATAACAAAAATAATTAATTTGGTATTTATATTATATAGACTTGAATCTATTTCAGCCCATTTTAAAATATCAATAGTTTTGATAGTTTTTGATATTGATTTATATCTTCTTTTTATTTAAATTGTTTTTATACTGTAAGAAAAATCAAGAATTATCAAATACAATTAAACAAATAAATTAATTTATAACAAAATGTATTTTAAATAAAATAAAATGAAAAACTTTTTTTTTACAAATATAAAAATTAATTTCTAATGTATAAAAAAAAAAGTTTATTTTATTATTTATTTAAAAATTAAAATTATATTATGGTATACTATTTTTAAATAATATTAATATCCGTAGCCACCAGCATAGTAATTGTTTTGATAATTAGGATAGGGTTGTTGAGGAGGTTGTTGAGGAGGTTGTTGTTGATAATAATATGGGGCATTTGGATTAGTTGCAGAGGGTGAAATAGTGGCACTACCATTTGAAGTTGGAGGTACTGAATAGGCTATTCTCTTTGATTGGGGTTCATTTGTAGAGGATGATGATGAACTAGTTGTACCATTTGCATTGTTATTATTGTTATTATTAATGTTGTTATTGCTATTATTATTTAAATCATTTAATGATCTTTTTTTTGATTCTGGTTTACCATCAGGATATAATTTTAAAAATCTAAATTCTAAATCTCTATAGAGTTGAATATCTTCTAATTGGTTAATTGTAAATTCTAAATAATTATTAAAAAATTCGATTTTATCGTCAGATGATAATGAAGATGTTTTTGTGTTCAATGCACGTTCGTATAATTGTATAATTCTATTGTTTGATTCTTTATCGCTGTCATTGCTGAATAGTTGAATATTGGTTTCGAAATTTATAAAATAAGACCATAATAGTTTTGAATTTGAAAATGCTGTAACTGCTTTATTTAGTTTCTCTCTTGATTCCTCTAAAACTGAACTCTTGTTACTGTCACTATTTAATAATAAAAATTTAATATAGTTTACTAAAAGGAATGGATAGGTTGATTTGTCAGATTCATTTTCTTGCAAAATGCTTTTAAAATATTGAATAATTTCTTGGGTACTGTTTAATTGATTTCTCTTTTTAAATGAAATAATTCTGAGGATGGTTTCAATATGATTTGGTACTAATGAGTGAATATTATCTAAAACTGATTTTGCTTTTTCTGTATCTCCTTTAACACCCTCTAAATATAGTGAATACTTTAAGTGGATATCGGGTCTCTTTTTTAAAAATATTTTTGTAGCTCTTTCAAATATATTTTCTATTAATTCATTATTTATTTTAGTTTCTTCTTGGTTATTTAGTTTTTCTAAATATTCGACATATTTTAACCAAAATTCTGAATAGTAACACTGTATAGATTATATTAGGGATAATTAGTTTTTTTTATTTTTTTTTTTTTTATTTTTTTTATTATTATACATACACATGGAATTAAACATCTTTCATATAATTTAATAATTTCCTCTTTTGTTGAATTTGTATCTTTTTCCATAAAACTAAAATATGATCTCCATACTGATAGTGTCATATCATCTATTGGTTGAATGTGGAAGAAAAATCTTTTGTTTACCTAATAATTTTAAAATAAAATTAATAAATTGAAAAATGATTCAAAGTAATAAATAAATGGTTTAATACTAACAATTAATTCAAATTGTAATCTTGAATTTGTTTTTTCTAAAGTTTGGTTAAACCAAATTTCTCTATTTTTTAAAATTAAGTTTTTAGTTTCGGTTTCATCGCCAGTATAGTTATTGTGTTCTTCTTGGGTGATCATTTCTTTAACATTTATTCTATCTATTAATTCTTTGAATCTATCATAAAAGAATTGAATATTTTCTAAAGGTGTTTTTAAAATGCTATTAAATACTTGAGACAATTGGTTTTCATTTTGTGTTAATTCAAACTCGATGTATTTTTCCCAAAATTTGCTTGATTGAAAATCTGTACCAATTATTTTTGAACCTCTTTTAAAAACCCTATAAAGAAAAAAAATGGTATTAGTTTATTTGTTTATAATTATTATTATTATTTTTTTATTTTATATGAATCTTACTCTCTAATTTGATCTACTGGGTGTGATTTATCAATTAAATGTGTGACATAGTTAAGCCAAATATCAACACTATGGGATACAGCTTTTACAGCTTCTTCAAATACTTGTATTGCTTTTGGGGCGTTGTTATGGGCGTATTCGTGATCGGCATATCTTTTCCAGTATAAAAAGCATAATGGAAATTCATTTAAAAATTCGCTATAAACTTTTCTAATCTTTTCGATATCATTAGACTTTTCGATAATTGTTATTAATACAGTCCAATTATTGAATCCAGATGGGTTATTTTTTTACACTTGACCAATATTCTTCTTCATTATCGCTAGTATTGATATTTGTTTCTGTCATTATTATTAAAGTAAAGTTTAATTAATTAATTGATAAATTTAAAACAATGATGATAAAAAAAAAAAAAAAAAATGAAAAAAAATTTTTAAAAAAAAAATAAAAAAAAAAAAAAAAAAAATATTTTTAAATTTATTTTTTTTTTAATTTTTATTTATATAATATCCTAAATTTGGAAAAAAAATTATAAAAATAAACTAATCAAATACATGCATGAAAAAATATTTGTATTTGCTAAAAATATAAAGGAAAATTTACATTAACTATGATCTATTAATAATTCATTAAATGAAAATTGGGTTTTGGTTAATTAAAAATAAAGTTATTGAATTATGAAAATGATTATATATATTAAGATATTATATTTATAAAAAATTATTATATAATAAAAGCTATTAATGAGTGAAAATAAACTATTATATTTGGTATTCTATTTTGAAAATTTTAATAAAAATTATATATGTGTTTATCATTACATAAATTTACAGTTGTATAAAAAAAAAAAAAATTATAATAATTTTCATTTCAAATTTTAACAAACTTAATAACAAAGATAAAAACTAAATTCTAATATGTCAATTATTAGTAAATATATAAAAAAAATTATTATACAAGTTTTTTATGTGTATCTTAACCTTTTTTTATTTTATATAGAATCTATTTCATCAATGAACCCAGTTAACAGTGCTTCAACTATTTCAATGTTAAATTCATCAGGAAGTACCTTGTTCTCTGATAATGAATCAGCTTGTTTTGGTAATAGCTTTGGTGGCTCATGTTGTTTCAATCCATGTTTTAATCCATGCAGCAGTGGAAACAATAACATTATAAATATTGATATTGATATTGGTCGTCGTTGAAGATACTGTTAAATTATTTTAAATAAAAATATTAATGATTAATTTATTTAATGAATTATATCTTTTAAAATTATCAAATTTATTTACATAATTATTTTAACTCTTCATATTATAAAAATAACTTTTATTAATTTTGCAATCTTTAATAAAGAAAAATAAATCTAAATATTTTGATATTGATTTGCTGTATTGATTATGATTTATATAGTTTTTTTTTACTTGAACTGACTGCATTTGACATATAACTTGAACTATTTCAATGTTAAGTTCATTATTAACAAATACTTGAATTTCTTTTAATAAACTTTTTAAAATTGTTGTATTTTATACCTCATTCTCCCAAACTCTATTATTAATCTTTACCCAACTGTAATTCTTCAACTAATTAAATTCAATAATGATTCAAAATTTTGAATTGGTTTTTTTTTTTTTATTATTTTTAATTAAAGGTGTATGTTTTTCTAAAATGAGAAGATATTCTATTTTTAATTTAATATTTTAAATTATATTGTTATTAAAATGAAATTGATATATATTTTTTTACATCTTATCAACATATTTATCAATATCCATATATTTTAATTATGAACCCATTCAAAAATGAAACTTACAAAAGAACAATTATTAGAATTATTAAAAGATTTATTAATACAATTAATTAAATGAAGAAAATCAAGAAAATGAACAAATTATCTAAATTAAAATTTTATTTTATAAATATATACTTATTTATATAAATATATATTTTATAAAATACAATTTATTACATAAATTTATAAATAATAAATAGTATTTATATATTTAAGTATATATTTATAAAAACAAAAACAAGAAATCGAAAATGAAAATCCAACACACCATAATTTTATTTTTGCAGATGAAGAGCCAATTCATGTTTCACCATATTACATCCCCTATTAATTGGAAAAACCTATCTATTCAACACCTCCACAACAACAACAATTAAATCATATAAATGAATTTTAACAAGAGATAGATGATTATCTTCATGACCAAGAAGAACATCAAGAAGAAAATCAAGAAGAACAAGAATTCTCACCAACTCAATCACCACCACACGAAGATGAAGAATTACAACATCCACATGTCCGTTTCATTATTGATTTAAACATATATTATGATCCATCACCAATACAAAATAAATTTTAAATAACACAATAATAAGTTATTACATTTGGAAGTTTGGAATATAAGCCTTATCTCACAAAAAAAGCAAAGAGGTAAAAATATCAATGGGCCATACAATTTAGTAACTCACAGTGGATTTGGAAAAGGGTAGTTTTACAGATGAACTGGATTGACTATATTTTATATGAAATAAAAAATAGATTTAGGTTAAAGATAACATTCAAATAA